ACCTTGGCGGTTCATACTTTAATTCAAGCAAAGGAATTTGTTGACAAGTCACAGGAACATTACCTACCTGCAATGAAAGAATGCTGAAGAGAATTGCGATGAAATTTTTTTGTTAAGAACAGGTAGTAATGCAAAAAAACAATTCTAAAATTACAAAATATATATTTTTGAGTGGTGGATTAAAGCATCACATTTAATATAATTTAGTGCTACTCCTATAGTATCTATAAATTCAGAATTGAAGAGCAAAGAACAAATCCATTCCTATGCCACGAGGAATATGGCAATCCTGCTAATACATACCCACCCAATCTATGTATTTACATATCTAACGCCTAAACTTTGTTTTTTACATTTATACCACCCAAAATACAAAGCAAAGTGAAATACACCTTTTCATGCATAGAAAAGGTGGCATGTATGTAAAAAATTAAACTTTACGTGTAAGATATGTAAAAACACAGGAATTGAATGCTAAGTAAATAGCATAGAAGAAAGTCAATCAAAAAATTACATTTGATAAATAAAAACCAATGCAAAGGATTCTCAGGACAGAGGAGACTGCTCTGATATGCATGAAAATGAAAAATAATCCCACAACAAAAGCGAAAAAAATAAACAATACTCGTGATTCAAACACACAAGCAAAGATTCTTAATGGCTTAAACTTTTGAGTTGCTGAGTTCCATAAATTCAATGCAGACCGATTTTCTTTGGGTCCTGAGCTCTGGCTTTCAAGTTATTTGTCAGCTTTGCCCTCTATACAATCCTTATGTGCAAATTCCCAAGAGAGAAATACTAACAATGTTATGTTTGATGAAATTAGGATGGGCAGTCAAGCCAAACTATTAAAATCAAAATATACTTAAAAATAAAAAGCTTCTATGGCAGATGTACACCATTAACTGATTTACTTATGATATTTTATTTTCACAATACAAAAATATGTGCACCTTATTCAAGGCTGATGTAAGGAATTCTACAAGTTCAGGAACAACAATTACTTGAGCTCCCTGTTTCCCCTATGCAAGAGCAACAAGACATTATCAACCCTGTCAAGCTTTCTCTGTTAGACATGCGAATTCATTAGCTTGCCATAACAGATACCTGCAGTAATATATCACCAATCTTTTCTCTAGCAATTCCTGTTCCAATTATGGAGCCAAGGAAGTCTCCATGAGAACAGTTTTCAAACCCAAAGTTCCCAGAGATGCTGACCAAGGTGAAGATTTAGCTATAAGCTAAAAAGGAAGTTGAAAAAGGAAATACAGATAGAGTCCTGGAGACCTCAGAGCAGCAACCACATCTGGGTCGGTAGTAAGGATTTCCGGATTTCCAATAGAAATACGACAACGTTCAGCCTATAAAATTAAAATGGAGCTTACAATAATAATTTGGGAAATTTACATACATGCCACACAATTCCTTTGTATTTACATATCTAACACCTAAAATTTGATATTTATATTTATAAAACATTGGTTTCATGAACCTATGCATAAAAAGGCGTCCATCACTTTTAAAAAGTCATTAGTATGGTATTAATGGTTAGTGTAAAAAGTCACTAGTATGGTATTAATGGTTAGTGTTATGTATGTAAATCTGGAAGTTTGGATGTTAGATAAGTAAATACATAAGAATTGTGTGGTATGTATGTAAATGTCCCAACAAAATATAGTAGAAAATCTTAGTGGCAGTGGAAAGGGAGGGCCGGAGGGGTCGAAGAGGAGAGGAGAAGAGATAAGAAATGAATACTTATACTAATGTGTTCAAATTTAAGGAAAATTAACATAGCTAACACAAATTCTTATGTACTTACATATCACACACCTAAACTTTAATATTTACATACATAGCACATTGGTTCTTTAAAGCTACGCCTTAAAGCAATGCATGAAAATATTTATTTGATTTTTAAAAAAGTGGTAATAGTGTTATATTTTATGTGATATTAAAGATTTGAGCTACATGTGTAAAAATCAAAGTTCAGGTGTGAGATATGTAAATACATTAGAATTGTGTTCTAAGTATGTAAATGCCACCAAAGTTAAAATTAGAGAGACAGAGAATAAAATGGGATCAGTATAACCTGTGGGTATCCTCCCTGAGCTACTATTTTGACATCAGCTAATTTCTCTAGCGCAGAAATCGACTCTCTGAGTGTTGGTGGAGTTAGGAAGTCTGTGTGAAGGATTTCTGTTCTTGATGACGCTCTGCTTGCCTTTCCAAAAAAGACAACATAAATGCAAAAAAAATTAAACAAAAAAGTGCAAAAATACCCAATAAATTGGCTCTATTTGTAAAAAGCAGAAACATGACTATTATTCATAAGAAACAAGTTAAAGCTTTAAAACTCATGTATCTTGTTGATTTGAAGCTGGGTATTAAGAACGAGGACAACAAATTACTTCATAGATTTCTTGCTCTCCAAGAAAATTTGCAGAAGTTTCAAGCCTATCAGATTTGTGTAAGTACTTCAATATTTACATACACCACTCAATTCATATGTACTTACATATCAAACACCTAACCTTCATCTTTTACATATATGTCATCTTACATGTGCATGAAAGGTGTTGCACTTTTTAAAAGTGAAAATAGTGACATTTTTTTGTGATACGAAAGATTTGGAAAGAATAAATGTAAAAAAGTAAGGTTTAGGTGTTAGATATGTAAATATATAGCAAATGAGTGGTATATATGTAAATGCACCTATTTTTAAGTCTACCAACTTCAAGTGAAATTGTTAGTAACTCCTTAATTTTGAAAACAGCTTCGGAGTTTGACATGGTTCAATGAAATTTGCCCTGCTTGACATGAAGATCAAAGTGATACTAGTTTGAATCTATAAATGAATCTCTTATAAGAGATGGCTAACAAATAAAAACCATGCGCGTCAAAATAGCTCTAATTCTTCCAAGATCAGTGGAGACTCCAAACCTCACAGCAACAACCCCAGGAACAATCACAATGAAGTCATCAAGAAGCATTTCTTCAACCGAATGTATAATTTTGGGGCATTTACGTAAATAGCACAAAATTCCTATGTGTTTACATATTTCACATCTAATCTTTCATGTTTACACACATAACACTCAAATCTTTAATATCACATCGAAAATAGCACTGTTAGCACCTTTTAAAAGTCAAATGCACATTTTCATGCATAGTTTTAAGACACAAAAGTGCTAGGGGTGTGTATTATTTGGTCAAAACTAAAAAACCAAACCGAACAAATCAAATTTGGTTGGTTCGGTTCGGTTTCAAAATTGGATTTCAGTTTTTGATTTTAAAAACTTTAATATTTAGTTTTCGATTTAGTTTTAATTTTCATTTAACCAAACAAACTGAAAAAGTAAAATTTATTAAAAAATTTTACTATATTTTAATTTCATGTGAAATAAACTAGAAAGGTTAAAACTTTTATTATATGTAATATTTGATTGAAATAAATAGATGATTCATGAAATCAAATTGATATTATGTGGACAAGATAAGTAATTTGTAATGCTTGTTCATAGCCAAATTTCAATAAACAATTAAATTTTGATTTTTTCATAACCGAACCATTTAAACTGAATTAAATTTCGATTCAGTTGTCCAGTTTTATCAAAATTTAGATTGGATCTGTTTTTTGGATTTTGGATTTCGATGTAATCGGTTAGGCCAATTTTAAAATTGATCCATCCAAACCGACCGAAAGCTCGCCCCTATAAATGCTATGAATGTAAATATGAAACTTTAGGTGTGAGACAAGTAAATACATAAGAATTGTGTACAACATATATATAACACAAGAAATTTCATAACGAACATGAGTAATATATGACTCATCACTCATATGGAAGTGTTGGAAGCATTGGATAAATCAAAAGCCATTACCAACCCCTCATAGAATTCATTCTACTCATTGTTGTCTTCTTCTCTTGCATTTAAATACTACAACATGAAAACATCTATCAAAGAATTTATAAAATGTTAATAAGATTTAACATCCATCACATCAAAAAACCTTCAAGATTTAACCCCTCTAAGTTTCACCAAATCCATGTTTACAAAATTTACAAGATCCTACTTTTAACCAAACAAGCCCAAAATGCTAAAACAAAGTTATCTCAAACTAGCATTAAAAACTGAAAATTGTAGGAAGATTTACATGCATTCCACTCAATTCTTATG